TTTTTTAAATATTTTGATAGCATGTGCATTAATATCATTTTCATTGATCTATTGATGATTGTAGCTAATTTTATCTGCAGATATTTATAAAAAATTAATAGAATAATTGCAACAACTATGTGTGATCCTTCCACATCTTCATGTCACTCATGTATCACTCTTATACACTATCATTCTACCACATCCCACAACAATGCTGATATCTATTGTATATCATCTTACCAGCAGTGGAGATATAAGCCAGCACTACCACCCAGTACACGTAAAACAAAATCAAGCAAATGAAAGTCCACACTGGTTGCACCAGAATCATGGGCACAGCTACAATGCATTTTCCTGCCTCATTGAAGAGAGCCACTGCCAGTGCTATACGCTTCCTCAAGACCAAAATTACCAATAACAAAATTACCTGGAATAGAAACTTAAAATACTCAACATTCACTGCAAAACTCAAGCAAATAATTTCAAAATAAAACAAATGTGTACATAAAACATCTTTACATTCAATTTATTTTTGTGACCTTGTTGTTAAACTAATACATCTTAAATGTTCAGCACATAAAAGTTGTAATAGTTATAATCATTTCTTTTTAATATATGACTCTCACCGTAAGGATTGTTGCAATTATGGAATACGCCAAAAATGCATTTTCACTGTCAATTTCTATCTGCAGGAATGGAATTTCATTGGCAGTTTTCATATCCATGGAATTCTTCTTTTCAACATAAGTCCACCATAGAAAACCAGTGCCCGCTGACATAAAAAAATTTCATTATTTGCATGGCAAGGAAATGCCACTGTGTCTAATTCTGTACTTGACCACTAGTTTTTTTTTTTTTTTTTTCTTTTGTTGTTTTAACGTACACTACACTGCTATGGAGTTGCATTTTAGCTCTTTTGATAATATAAAATGTTAATATATACATATGATTAAACTTTAAAAGGAGAGAGAAAAGAGAGAGAGTCGCATCATGACCTACCTAAACTGCCTATTATGGCCAGAGCAAGAATGACCCACACAACTACAGATGCAATAAAACGTATCAGGACAACCACTGCTATGGCCAACACTGGAATCATCAAGCAAAACATGCTCAGCATAACTAATCAAATATCCATCACATCACTATTCCATATTTATTAGAATTCAATTCTCTTTAGCAAAATAATCACCAAAGCAATTCTGACTGATAATAAATTGAAATAGAACTGCATTACACACAAAGAAGTCTATCATCATGATATTAGTGTTTTGCGGTATACTTACCAAAGGCTATTCCTGCCAGCAGCAGCATAAGCTTCCAGCTGGCATATAAGTCAGCAATGACATAGCGAAAGATGTCAAACTCATTGAGGTATCCGAGAACAGTTTCTTTGAGGTTGCTGGTAAAGTTGGAAAAAGAGGCTGGGATACATCTTGAGAGAATGTCAGCACTGAAAAATAATGCTTACAATGTACATGTATTTACAATAAGGAGAGTATATCAAAGGTAACTGTGAATGAATGAACGATTGAGTACATTCAGAGTCTATTCTTTACAAAAATCTAAATTAATAGAGGAGGCCACCACTGAGCTGCTCAAAGCTTTTGTCCTGCAGCAGTATTATCTTTGTTTTGAGAATAATTTTTTTTTATTACAGAGTTTCTAATTTCACTCATTGGTAATTTTAATGAGGCCAGGCCTCTTCAAAAATGTTTTTGAATTTTCTGAAAAAAAATAAAAGCACTTACTGCAAAGATCTATTTCCAGTGCCCACTACAGCACAGCTAGGAGATATCCGCTACATCAATATAGCTGACTACCATTTACTCTGACACAAATAATTTGTGTAATATCTCTCATGCTAAACCACTACAAATGTGATGACCCCACTTTGCATCATACCCATGAATAGAAACATCTGAATACCAAATAAATAAAGTGAAATAATAACCTGTGATGCACGGGGAACACTGGACATGGTCCCTTGGTATTTTGTAAGTCTTTGTCTGTACACTCATAAGGTGTAATGTCATATCTGGTCAGGCTGACACCTGTCTCATTGTAAAATGCTATCAACTCCTGGGCATTCTTCAGTTCCCTGTCAGGACATTTCTCCACACACACCTCCAAGGAAGACTTGGGTCGAATAATGTCCATAAAAAATACATATCTGAAAGAATCAATTCATAGAAAACATACACATGAATAATTTAGAAAGAGTTATTTTTATGAAAACAAGATGCATTCTAGTGAGTAGTCTGAACTTGGACAGATGTGGAAGATAGAGCCAATGTTAAACCTTAGGCCTTCTAGCAATTAATGGGCTATAAAAATAAAAGGATTCGTTTTTCATGATATTTTAGAGTAGATTCCTTTAGTTTTAAAGCCAATTTAAAATAAGCTAATCAGGCTTGTACCTACTGATCAATTATAAGTGCAATTATATGGATTGGAATTTTAATCTTTTAGATCTGTTTATGCTTAGAAATTACCTGTATGACAAATTGTCAAAAAAAAATTTACTCTAGCTTCACTCGAGCAAATCAAAACAAATAGTTAAATAGTGTGCAATTAAAATAAGTTGAGGAAAAAGTTTCAAATTTTACAAAATCATTATATTGCTCAACTGCTAATCCTAATACTGCATACCAATGGAACCACATACCATGCACATATTAATCACCACTAGGAAATATTACTAGGGACTTCTACTCTGCAAGCGGTCTGTAAGCTATATCTATGACATCTCCCAGGATGGGCCACAACATGTAACCCCCTCCTCCCCTTCAGAGTTCAAATGTGTTTTAGTTCTTTGCATTACAAGCCATTTTTTGTGCATTTTTTTTTTTTTTTTGCCTTCGTGATAAAGACACACCATTTTGCCCTTTTTAGTCATGTAAGCAGAGCAACAAGAATAAGGTGACACAATGCAAATTCATATTGACTGAATTACCCTTAATACTGAATACTTATGCAGTTTGATCAATTACTGGAGCTCTAGGCACTTAATATCACAAATGAACTTTAAATCGAGATAATATGTCTTCATAACTGGAGGACATATTCCCAATCTGAAATGATTGGTAGTGAAAACTACATAATATTATGGAGAATCCTAGGATTTCAGCAATGGCAAAAGTTACTTAGCTAAAAAAGGTGAAATCAAGTGAAAAAAATCAACGTACTTGCGATCATGAAAATCCTTGCCACTGAAGTTAGACATAACTGTCATTTCATTCTTTTCACCACATGTATTACCATAGCTATCGTAACCATATAAAAGACGAAAAGCATCACCATTCACTATTGAGTAAACAGCAATATATATCTGCAAATAATAAAATAAGCATGCTTAATAAAGGGGTAATTCATATGATGTATTCATCACAATATTGGCTTACTTTTCATTGGTGTTGTCTCTGCCACTGAAATTTGATGAAACTTCACGTATGTTTTGCATGCCGCAAGCATTACCAAAGCTGTCATAACCATAGAACATGGTCCATATTCTACCATTCATGATGGAAAAGACAGTTATATATACCTGGAATACAAACACACTACATAGGCAGATACAGTAAATGGGGGAAAAGATCCATATCTGTTGCCTCTGCCAACTCTAAATTTCAAAGATAAAAACAAACAAAGTCAACAGATGACAAAACTTGGTTTATTGTTTGTTCTTGCTTACATGCAATTTACCTATAACAATATGATCCTAAAACAATAAGGAATGATCTAAGATAGCACATTTCCTAATTCTGGAAAAATTTCTAAAATACCTTGACAGAACAATCTTATTAAATGGACAATATGAGATATTTAACTAAATTATCCCTTTGGATTGGTAAAAATAACAACGCTGACTCCTCTTCCTCTACAAAAAACTTACCATTCCCACCCAGAAGAGAATGAAGACAACAAGGACAATTATATCTGTGCATCCCCTCTTCTTTACCATGGGATTGCTACCTCTCTGCCCACCATCCTCTGTATCCTACAACAAATAATATGGAAGATTTAAGTCTCTGAATTTTTTACAGGTTTTCAAATTACTTTCATTACAAAATATTATTATTATCTAAGAATGACTATTGCACATAAACTGTGTACTTTCTTCCAATATCAAATATGAATGTATAAGAAGTCCTTCCAAATAGGCACACAATTACCCTGCGTTCAACCAAAACTATGCACAATATAATCTAGTGAATAGCATAATATTACCACACAGCCACAAACCTTTTTCTTTTCAAAAGTGGCAATAAAAAACACCATCTTGAAGCAAAAGATGCAATCAAATGTTCAAAGTTTTTGTTCAAAATACTTCACTGGGGACCAATACACATCTACCACTATCACAAATGATATGGCCTCAAATCTCTTATATTGAGTGTTACCTTGCACTGGTTTCACACCCTTGCTCTAATATTATGGATATAGTAAAATAATGGCTTTTTAGTGTTATAATAATCTTGTTCTGTGCCTAAACACTTTCTGTGCACAGAAATTTAGAAGATTTACCAACTGTGCCTCGGTGGAAACAGCACTGACCAGTGACAAACATATGTTGGATTGTGCTTATTAAGTTGACACTGTGTGTGAAAAACATATCTATGCCATTCCCTTAAATTCATAATTAACTGATCTATTCGAAATGAGACATATGTAGCTTCTAAATCAAATGTGGAGAAACTTGCTAAAATCAGTTTCAGGATGCATAATTTTAATTACAGACAATATTAAAGAAATTACTTATTGGGCAGCCAAGATATGGGCAGGGAGAAAACCCTGAACATCACCTAGCAACCAAGATTGGGTAGGGGGTCATTTAAGTTTGAAGTTTTTATAGCCATTCGTTTTTATAGCCATTCGTTCAAGTGACATAATTTGACACTATGAGTATGTAACATTCTGTATGTGAACAATTAACCTTTTTCATCTTTTGCGGAAATACGAAGTACGCATGACAGGAACCGCGCGCCACAGGGGTCATAGTGGTCCTCTGCTGTTTCCAGCATGGCAATGCTAGGTGTAGATGATGTACAAGGTGCGCATATAAAAAGGTCGTATGAAGCGTGCGTTGCTTTCTGTCAAACTAAAAAGGTGGCTGAAGCACAGAAACGCGTAAACTGTAGGCAAGAAACAGCTATTTGGACGGAGAATCAAGCAAACAAATATTTTCTTTCTCAGTTTAAATACGATGCGCTTTACAACTAGACTTCACCTAAGCGTCCGAGCCTTGGCTGTACTTTCCATAGTGATGACGAACTAAAGCTTCTGAGTTCTTTTAAATGCTTCCNATTTTTTTATTACAGAGTTTCTAATTTCACTCATTGGTAATTTTAATGAGGCCAGGCCTCTTCAAAAATGTTTTTGAATTTTCTGAAAAAAAATAAAAGCACTTACTACAAAGATCTATTTCCAGTGCCCACTACAGCACAGCTAGGAGATATCCGCTACATCAATATAGCTGACTACCATTTACTCTGACACAAATAATTTGTGTAATATCTCTCATGCTAAACCACTACAAATGTGATGACCCCACTTTGCATCATACCCATGAATAGAAACATCTGAATACCAAATAAATAAAGTTAAATAATAACCTGTGGTGCACGGGGAACACTGGACATGGTCCCTTGGTATTTTGTAAGTCTTTGTCTGTACACTCATAAGGTGTAATGTCATATCTGGTCAGGCTGACACCTGTCTCATTGTAAAATGCTATCAACTCCTGGGCATTCTTCAGTTCCCTGTCAGGACATTTCTCCACACACACCTCCAAGGAAGACTTGGGTCGAATAATGTCCATAAAAAATACATATCTGAAAGAATCAATTCATAGAAAACATGCACATGAATAATTTAGAAAGAGTTATTTTTATGAAAACAAAATGCATTCTAGTGAGTAGTCTGACTGGGACAGATGTGGAAGAGAGAGCCAATGTTAAACCTTAGCCCTTCTAGCAATTAATGGGCTATAAAAATAAAAGGATTCGTTTCTCATGGTATTTAAGAGTAGATTCCTTTAGTTTTAAAGCCAATTTAAAATCAGCTAATCAGGCTTATAACTACTGATCAATTATAAGTGCAATTATATGGATTGGAATTTTAATCTTTTAGATCTGTTTATGCTTAGAAATTACCTGTATGACAAATTGTCAAAAAAATTTAACTCTAGCTTCACTCGAGCAAATTAAAACAAATAGTTAAATAGTGTACAATTAAAATAAGATGAGGAAAAAGTTTCAAATTTACAAAATCATTATATTGCTCAACTGCTAATCCTAATACTGCATACCAATGGAACCACATATCATGCACATATTAATCACCACTAGGAAATATTACTAGGGACTTCTACTATGCAAGCGGTCTGTAAGCTATATCTATGACATCTCCCAGGATGGGCCACAACATGTAACCCCCTCCTCCCCTTCAGAGTTCAAATGTGTTTTAGTTCTTTGCATTACAAGCCATTTTTTGTGCATTTTTTTTTTTTTTTGCCTTCGTGATAAAGACACACCATTTTGCCCTTTTTAGTCATGTAAGCAGAGCAACAAGAATAAGGTGACACAATGCAAATTCATATTGACTGAATTACCCTTAATACTGAATACTTATGCAGTTTGATCAATTACTGGAGCTCTAGGCACTTAATATCACAAATGAACTTTAAATCGAGATAATATGTCTTCATAACTGGAGGACATATTCCCTATCTGAAATGATTGGTAGTGAAAACTACATAATATTATGGAGAATCCTAGGATTTCAGCAATGGCAAAAGTTACTTAGCTAAAAAAGGTGAAATCAAGTGAAAAAAAATCAACGTACTTGCGATCATGAAAATCCTTGCCACTGAAGTTAGACATAACTGTCATTTCATTCTTTTCACCACATGTATTACCATAGCTATCGTAACCGTATAAAAGACGAAAAGCATCACCATTCACTATTGAGTAAACAGCAATATATATCTGCAAATAATAAAATAAGCATGCTTAATAAAGGGGTAATTCATATGATGTATTCATCACAATATTGGCTTACTTTTCATTGGTGTTGTCTCTGCCACTGAAATTTGATGAAACTTCACGTATGTTTTGCATGCCGCAAGCATTACCAAAGCTGTCATAACCATAGAACATGGTCCATATTCTACCATTCATGATGGAAAAGACAGTTATATATACCTGGAATACAAATATACTACATAGACAGATACAGTAAATGGGAAAAAAGATCCATATTTGTTGCCTCTGCCAACTCTAAATTTCCAAGATAAAACCAAATGAAGTCAACATATGGCAAAACTTGATTTATTGTTTGCCCTTGCCTACATGCAATTTACCTATAACAATATGATCCTAAAACAGTAAGGAATGATCTAAGATACACATTTCCTAATTCTGGAATAAAAATTTCTAAAATACCTTGACAGGTATGGACAATATGAGATGGACAATATGAGATATTTAACTAAATTATCCCTTTGGATTGGTAAAAATAACAACACTAACTTCCTCTACAAAAAACTTACCATTCCCACCCAAAAGAGAATGAAAACAACAAGGACAATTATATCTGTGCATCCCCTCTTCTTTACCATGGGATTGCTACCTCTCTGCCCACCATCCTCGGTATCCTGCAACAAATAATATGGATGATTTAAGTCTCTGAATTTTTTTCAGGTTTTCAAATAACTTTCATTACAAAATATTATCTAAGAATGACTATTGCACATAAATCTATCCACTTTCTTCCAATATCTGATATGAATGTATAAGAAGTCCTTCCAAACAGGCACACAATTACCCTGCGTTCAACCAAAACTATGCAAAATATAATCTGAGTACTAGTGAATAACATAATATTACCACACAGCCACAAACCTTTTTCTTTTCAAAAGTGGCGATAAAAAACACCATCTTGAAGCAAAAGATGCAATCAAATGTTCAAAGTATTTGTTCAAAATACTTCACTGGGGACCAATACACATCTCCCACTATCACAAATGATACAGTCTCAAATCTCTTATATCGAGTGTTACCTTGCACTGGTTTCACACCCTTGCTCTAATATTATGGATATAGTAAAATAATGAGTTTTTAGTGTTATAATAATCTTGTTCTGTACCTAAACACTTTCTGTGCACAGAAATTTAGAAGATTTACAAACTGTGCCTCAGTGGAAACAGCACTGACCAGTGACAAACATACGTTGGATTGTGCTTATTAAGTTGACACTGTGTGTGAAAAACACATCTATGCCATTCCCTTAAATTCATAATTCACTGATCAATTCGAAATGAGACACATGTAGCTTCTAAATCAAATGTGGAGAAACTTGCTAAAATCAGTTTCATGATGCATAATTTGATTTACACATAATATTAAAGAATTTACTTATTGGGCAGCCAAGATATGGGCAGGGAGAAGACCCTGAACATGACCTAGCAACCAAGAATGGGTAGGGGGTAATTTAAGTTCTTAATAATGTACAAGATAAGCAAGCTCTGTGTTACCTTGTGCAGACAAGAAATTTTATAGCCATTCGTTCAAGTGACATTATTTGACACCATGAGTATGTAACATTCTGTATGTGAACAATACCATCATCTAACATCTGTGTAGAAATGCTGTTCCATTTGCCATTGCACTGAGGAAATAAATCAATGATTATAACCTGATAGATGCCATGGAAAGTTAAGCAAATTGCAAGAGTAATTGCAAGGAATACTGCACTTGTCACTTCTACTGAAGTGATAAAGCATCTTAGCTGACTCCAGCAAGCCTAACAGGAATGGTTATTGAATTATCAGGGCAGGAGGATGAACACTGCCAATATATAATGGTGTACCTTGCAGTACTGAGAAATATACAGTGAAATAAAAAGGGAAATATCTCTTTCTGTCTTATTGCTAGGTACTAAGGTTACTATATTATAAGAATAAAATAATTAGACCCAAGACTTAAGCTACAGTACATATTCTACACTAACACTAGCAAGACTGAAAAAAAAAGATGATTGGTTCTGTGTTATTGTGCAAAGTACTGGGATCATCCAGGCACACTCCACATATTCTGTAGACAGTATTTATTGTTATTATAGGTGCATTCTATGAGTCATGCACTGAGAGAGAGTCCATTATCATTACAACAGCCATATAATTTATAGCCTGGATGCTCCCAGCAAAAAGCATCAGTTTTAGCTTCAAAAATAGAAGGCAAAAGGATTTTAAGAAATATAAAGATATAAAACATAAGCATTAAAACACTTTGCTCTATGGCACAGAAAACTGCAAAAGTAGTAAAAAATCTGAACAAAAACTACACTGTAGCACCAAATATGTTGAAGGAGATCTCATGGATAGCTCCCTAGCAATGCCACACAACATCCATCTTGCTCAATCTATCCTGAAGCTGCAAGTGCAACATAAATTATGTTTGATGTTGAAAACCCAAGGGCTGCTAATAATACCTATAAACTATTCTATTCCCCCGTTAGCCCCCACTTATACTAAAAAANGTGTTTCGACGTAGCAGGGCTCCCCTTCCCACAATGCAATTTCAATTTCCGGAAAAGATGAAAAAGGCTAATACCATCATCTAACATCTGTGTAGAAATACTGCTTTCATTTGCCATTGCACTGAGGAAATAAATCAATGATTATAACCTGATAGATGCCATGGAAAGTTAAGCAAATTGCAAGAGTAATTGCAAGGAATACTGCACTTGTCACTTTTACTGAAGTGATAAAGCATCTTAGCTGACTCCAGCAAGCCTAACAGGAATGGTTATTGAATTATCAGGGCAGGAGGATGAACACTGCCAATATATAACGGTGTACCTTGCAGTACTGAGAAATATACAGTGAAATAAAAAGGGAAATATCTCTTTCTGTCTTATTGCTAGGTACTAAGGTTACTATATTATAAGAATAAAACAATTAGACCCAAGACTTAGGCTACAGTACATATTCTACACTAACACTAGCAAGACTGAAAAAAAAAGATGATTGGTTCTGTGTTATTGTGCAAAGTACTGGGATCATCCAGGCACACTCCACATATTCTGTAGACAGTATTTATTGTTATTATAGGTGCATTCTATGAGTCATGCACTGAGAGAGAGTCCATTATCATTACAACAGCCATATAATTTATAGCCTGGATGCTCCCAGCAAAAAGCATCAATTTTAGCTTCAAAAATAGAGGGCAAAAGGATTTTAAGAAATATAAAGATATGAAACATAAGTATAACAACACTTTGGTCCATGGCACAGACAACTGCAAAAGTAGTAAAAAAATCTGAACAAAAACTACATTGTAGCACCAAATATGTTGAAGGAGATCTCATGGATAGCTCCCTAGCAATGCCACACAACATCCATCTTGCTCAATCTATCCTGAAGCTGCAAGTGCAACATAAATTATGTTTGATGTTGAAAACCCAAGGGCTGCTAATAATACCTATAAACTATTCTATTCCCCCTTTAGCCCCCACTTATACTAAAAAAANGTTAGCCCCCACTTATACTAAAAAAGACCATTATTTCACCTGGTTTATTCTTAACTTTCAATACTGTTATTACTATTTGTCACTTTCTCACTTCATGAAAAAAATCCATATGCCACTCAATTTGTTAGCAAAGCTCACAAAATGAATGAAACAGATTATTCCCTTCTTTTTGAGATGTTAACTGACATACTGATGATACCACTGAAAGGATAATACATCTCGTCATCCATGGAATCCCATTTACTTTCAGAGAATAACTGGTGTACCATTATCACATTGCATGAGTGCTTTTTGTATATTATCTGATCTACAAATGTAGGTTCTATACCACTTATCAAACAGGGTTAACTAAGGAGGTAAAAAGGTCATTTTTTCAAAAAAAAAAAAAAAAAAAAAAAACTTGCATAAGATGGTAGACAGTCAGGAAAATAACCCATATGTTCTATACAATAAATTACTGACACACTACACCCTCAATGTTTTTTGTTAATGTGGCAAACAGTAAATATATATATATACGTACCTTTCCATCATCCCCACACCCACAACACCCACACATGGTCAGTGCTATCTTCTATTCTGATCAGTGACTTAGTGATATGCTGAAAAAGGCAAATCAATTCAGATTTAATGCTGCATTCTAAATTATGGACTGGATTAAAATGGGTTTAAAAATAATCAGCAAAATCAAAAATAATGCTCAATTTTCATTTGAACGTTATATGTATGAAGTCACCTTTTAATTAATTATGCAATTCAGAATCTCATGCCACCTCCTACTATACACCTGATAAAAATCTTCAGTCAATCTCCTGTTAGCATTCTTTCCACTTTGATTCACATCATGAAGTGCAAGTATGGCTCCATACAGATCTAAACTGCTTTTATACAAATGTCATGCTAGTTTTGATTATATGTGAGACATTTGTCTAAAAGCAATATCAACTAAAAAAACGCTCAGAGATTGCAAACCTCCGCCAAGGCAGCAAAGTCTCCATCCAATGCAGTTTCACCCCTAAATTTTCAATATTTACCCCCGCCAAGGAGGTTATGTTTTCACCCCTGTTTGTTTGTTTGTTTATTTGTTTGTCTGTCTGTCTGTCATCAACATAACTTAAAAAGTTATGGACCGATTTTGATGAAATTTTCAGGAGGGCCAAGCAACAGATGATTAGTTTTTGGTGGCGATCTGGTTCAATAATCAATCAATAATCAATAATCAAAAATAAAAAAAACTAAATCGTTATAGAATGAAAATTTAGGGGTGGAACGGCATTGGGTGGAGACTGCTGCCTTGGCTGAGGTCTGCGCTCCAGGAGTGCTTCTCTTTGCTATAGTTTGCATTTATTTAAGAACCGCAGCCATGTAAATATATTATTCATCCAGCATCTAGTTATACTGCTGCACAAAGTATTACGAAATATTGGCAATGGATAATTATTATACTGATCAAATTTTTTTGTCCATAGCCATCAATATATATATAAATTTAATACAACCCATAAGAAATTACTCTAGCATGAATAAAACACTCTGGACAAAAGTTACATAAATTTGACAAATGAAATGATCATGCATTGCAAGCACCTGCTTTTGAATCATGGGAACAGTGCAGCTTACAGCATACATGCCCCATTCCCAGTCAGTCAGGTAGTAATAACAGATATCAAGGTGAGACTAATGTAAAGTGTCAAACAGTGATCACCTGTGGTGAAATAGCTGAAGGTAATTTTCGTTGCATAGTGCTGTGGTGAATGTATAATATAACTTTCCACTTTAGGACTGATTTCTGCCTAATTATATGTCTAATTCAATGTCTAATTAACTAATTGGCCTAAGGGATATGAGCCAAGTCATTCTTGTAAACAGAGAAATCACACTGACAACTGGTATAATCAAATAATAAAAAGAAATTGAAACTGGTGAACAGTTTCCACTTTTAAAAGAAACAAACTATTTTCCAATGCTTCACAATAAATTTGTTATCAATAACTCTATAGTAAATAAGCTAGGTTTTTTGTCAGAAACAAATATTAAATAATAGTGATAATAAAAACAAAACCACATACCTGATAAATCTTAAGTGGTTTATGAGAAGTGTATGGATTCGGTCAGATTTATTAGGTGCAATATATCATGAAGTACACATAAATACCTAAATATAACAGGGGTAGCTAGCAATTTTTTTCACTTAGCCAAATCAACGCATTTTTGTCAATCTGTTATCCAAATGGCTTTAATTTGACTAATATTAGTCAAATCAAGCATTTTTTGTTTAGCCAATTTTATCCCCTCCAGTTTTAGCATTTGGCTAAATTGGCGAGTGTTAGTGCTACCCCAGTATAAATCTTAAATAGTTTGGTTACAAATATTATACTTCTTTTTAAGATATACAGATGAAGAAAAAACAGTCACAGCTATGCCTATCTGTATTGACTGTAATTGATAGTAATATGCAAATAATAACTTTTCCGATGTTAAGTGCTTAATCAAATGGTTTAATAGGTCACTGATCACTGTAAGTTAAAACAAACTTTTTGCCACACTGGCATTACCTTCACACCTTACAGTTACCAATGTACTGTATCATATAGCAGGGAAATTGGTGTGTTAGCATTCTTATTCCTGACATATGTACTATATGTGCTAACACATGAAAAATAAAAATACACATAACTGTAAAATGGCTACCAGAGAGACTCCACAGTGTCAGGCAAAATATTTTCTTCTCTCACCTCCTCTAATTGCACATTGCTAGAGAGCTAACAAGTAGTTTTTTGCTCTTCTACCAGATATGTTGCCTTAGAATCACACACCCCTTGAAGACTGTCAACATAAAGGTGAATTTCCTTTTGAACATGTGAAATAAATTTGGTATTCTATTATTATTTCACACAAAACAACCAAACAACCATNATGTACATGTAAATGTAGAATTTGCAGACCGATACGTACTGTACTGTACAATGCCTCTGATTACCCTTTGAAACCCCTCAATCATTGTGTTTGCTCTTTATTACAGGGAACTGAATCTGCTGCATCATTTAGGCCCAACTGATCAATACCTGCAGTGTTAATTATGGACAGCGAAGATAATGTTGAAATAAGTGCAAGTGAAGAGGTAGGCTTTGGATATAAATAAATTAAGTGATGTATAATGCAATGTTATGTATGGTAAGCGAGGTCATGCTAGCACTGGAACTTTCCAGATTTATTTATTTTGTCTAGAAATTTGGCAGAAACAAAAATCTTATTCATAGTGTATCATAAGATAATATATGGGAATCTAGACAACAAAGGGATGGTCTGTTCTGCATTAAGTTTCTTAGTTTTGTTCCTAACCTGAATGTCTTGAAATAAGAAATAGAGCTGGGCTCTTTTCCTTTTCTTTCTTCCTTTTTTTAAGGAAGGAGATGATGAAGAAAAACATGCCAGGCTTCTGGATGCTGTGAGCTCCCTTAGTGGTGGAAAAAGGTCAGTCTACTTCCATCGATTTAAAGAGGCATACAAACCAAGCGAGTGTGCTATCATCGTTTTAAAGATTATATAAGAATGGTGTCTAAAATTGTTTATCTTAATTAATCATCACCATTAGATGTGTATATTAATTGTCAAAATGCAGTTTCAGCTTCATTTTTTGTCGGTTCTATACGTTCAGTTTTATGCTCTGCTGTCTTCAAAAACGACAATTCATTCACTACGCTCACACCTTTTACTACTGATACTGTCAGGGCTACCTCACCAGAACAAACTAGTGTGGCCATTGTATCATTTGATGTTGTCTCGGTGCATGGTTCCCGAATGTTTAAAGTCACCTCTGTTGATATGCCATTGCCCTCTATATTATAATCATACTTTTATTTGTGCAGGTTTTGTGTTGTGCTCCCTTTTTCTTTTTATCCCTCTTATGTGCTTAAAAGTTTTTTCTTTGCATCATCCACTGCATTGACTTGTTAAATTAGGGCAGCCATGTGATAAGCCTGCTCACTTGGCCTTTACCAATGGAAAGTAGGTTGAGCAGTTTTTCCACACTTCTTCCTTCCCATTTATTCAAATGCTAGTATCTGAATCACATGACATGCATGGTATAATATAATCCCGATTTTTAGTTCTTTATTTCTACGTACTGGGCTTGTGCTAGACGTTAAATTTGAAATAGATCTTGTTTATTTGGAGTGTAAGATGTTGTAAAAGTGCAGTTTTTGTGTATCATTTCCAACTAAAATTGCTTTGTATGCCCGTTCAAATGCAAAATATATAGATTAACATACTCCTTGCAATATTGTAGACTTGAAAGAGGCTGTGTTGTCTTTTTAATTTATCTGTAATCGGCTCATACCTAGATGTTTTGAATCAGGATATTTGCTCTTAATCATAACGTATTATACATATTCATTAATATTTGAGCTTGTATAATTAATAGGCAAATGAGATATTTTAACTGATTGAAATGCCATTTAATGAATAGCCAAAAACTGATGTTATATTTTCATTAAACAGATTTTCATTTTCTATTGTAGCAAGGTGTTACAGAGATCAGAAGCTTCTCTCACAGTGTCTGAGTTCAGCATTGGCACTAGTAAAGGTATAGCTTCATTTTAAACTTTTTTTAAATCTGTAACAATCTATTTGAAACAAAAAAAGCAGTTTCTTGTAAAATGGTTGAATACAATGTGTTGAAAATTTACATACAAAGAAATATTAAATCCCTTATTGTTTTAGCTCAGCTTAACCTACATCATCACTTTTTCTTTTTCTTTTTGTCTCTGAAAAGATTCAGAAAAGGTGAAACTGCATGATCTGGTTGGATCACTTAGAAACACAACCAAACATGGGGATCTGAAGAAGCAACTGAACACTGTTAATAAGCGAAACAAGGTTCTTCAACAACCACTACCAAAACCTGAACAGGAAAGGGTAAGGGAAGAATTTAGCATCTGAGTTCATTTGTTTACTTATTATCTTATTAATATATTTATTATAAATTCAACAAGAAAATATGTTTTAATGTATGCATGTTTATAGTTGACACAGGTATCTCTTAATGTTGGTATTTGGTATTATTTTTATGTACTTTTTAGATTCAAAGGACAGTTGCATATGAAGATGCTTCTAAAGAAGTAGCAAAATGGGACCCTGTGGTAGAGAAGAATAGAAGAGCTGATCAACTCAAGTTTCCTCTCCAGCAGCCTAATCTACGTTTGCACACTACAGATCAGTTTGTCAAAAGATTTCAGGTGTGTGTTGGTGTGTGTTTGCCTAATTTATGTTGCAATATGCTGCTCACTTCTCAATTTATCCCCCCCCCCCAATGCGATCATGGTTACTTGTATTTACTTGACATCTGATAGAAAGAATGTAACAGAAACATCCATTTGTAAATTTAGAAGCTTGTAAAGTGCACTTTTTTCCACGTGTGATCTTTAAAGACTATTGGGCAAGGTGGTATGCTATGTATCTTTAATTTTTTGGAGGCACATTATTTTTACTAAGGCCACACTTTTTTAATTTTATGGATGACATCCTGCGCGCGCACCGATTTTCGCCCGTTCTCCGAAAAAAAAAAAAAAAAATCCCCCCCCCCCCAGCCCCCAACGAAGTCGGTTGGCGCAAACGTCGTTATTGAATTTGCCAGGAAANATAAAAATGTAGAATTTGCAAACCGATACGTACTGTACAATGCCTCTGATTACCCTTTGAAACCCCTCAATCATTGTGTTTGCTCTTTATTACAGGGAACTGAATCTGCTGCATCATTTAGGCCCAACTGATCAATACCTGCAGTGTAAATTATGGACAGCGAAGATAATGTTGAAATAAGTGCAAGTGAAGAGGTAGGCTTTGGATATAAATTAATTAAGTGATGTATAATGCAATGTTATGTATGGTAAGTGAGGTCATGCTAGCACTGGAACTTTCCAGATTTATTTATTTTGTCTAGAAATTTGGCAGAAACAAAAATCTTATTCATAGTGTATCATAAGATAATATATCCATGGGAATCTAGACAACAAAGGGATGGTCTGTTCTGCATTAAGTTTCTTAGTTTTGTTCCTAACCTGAATGTCTTGAAATAAGAAATAGAGCTGGGCTCTTTTCCTTTTCTTTCTTTCTTTTTTTAAGGAAGGAGATGATGAAGAAAAACATGCCAGGCTTCTGGATGCTGTGAGCTCCCTTAGTGGTGGAAAAAGGTCAGACTACTTCCATCGATTTAAAGAGGCATACAAACCAAGCGAGTGTGCTATCATAGTTTTAAAGATTATATAAGAATGGTGTCTAAAATTGTTTATCTTAATTAATCATCACCATTAGATGTGTATATTAATTGTCAAAATGCAATTTCAGCTTCGTTTTTTGTCGGTTCTATGCGTTCAGTTTTATGCTCTGCTGTCTTCAAATACGACAATTCATTCACTGCGCTCACACCTTTTACTACTCATACTGTCAGGGCTACCCCACCAGAACAAACTAGTGTGGCCATTGTATTATTTGACGTTGTCTCGGTGCATGGTTCCCGAATGTTTAATGTCACCTCTGTTGATATGCCATTGCCCTCTATATTATAATCATACTTTTATTTGTGCAGGTTTTGTGTTGTGCTCCCTTTTTCTTTTTATCCCTCTAATGTGCTTAAAAGTTTTTTCTTTGCATCATCCACTGCATTGACTTGTTAAATTAGGGCAGCCACGTGGTAAGCCTGCTCACTTGGCCTTTACCAATGGAAAGTAGGTTGAGCAGTTTTTCCACACTTCTTCCTTCCCATTTATTCACATGCTAGTATCTGAATCACATTACATGCATGATATGTTATAATCCCGATTTTTAGTTGTTTATTTCTACGTACTGGGCTTGTGCTAGACGTTAAATTTGAAATAGATCTTGTTTATTTGGAGTGTTAGATGTTGTAAAAGTGCAGTTTTTGTGTATCATTTCCAACTAAAATTGCTTTGTATGCCCGTTCAAATGCAAAATATATAGATTAACATACTTCTTGCAATATTGTAGACTAGAAAGAGGCTGTGTTGTCTTTTTAATTTATCTGTAATTGGCTCATACCTAGATGTTTTGAATCAGGATATTTGCTCTTAATCATAACGTATTATACATATTCATTTATATTTGAGCTTGTATAGTTAATAGGCAAATGAGATATTTTAACTGATTGAAATGCCATTTAATGAATAGCCAAAAACTGATGTTATATTTTCATTAAACAGATTTTCATTTTCTATTGTAGCAAGGTGTTACAGAGATCAGGAGCTTCTCTCACAGTGTCTGAGTTCAGCATTGGCACTAGTAAAGGTATAGCTTCATTTTAAACTTTTTTTTAAATCTGTAACAATCTATTTGAAACAAAAAAAAAAAAACAGTTTCTTGTAACATGGTTGAATACAGTGTGTTGAAAATTTACATACAAAGAAATATTAAATCCCTTATTGTTTTAGCTCAGCTTAACCTACATCATCACTTTTTCTTTTTCTTTTTGTCTCTGAAAAGATTCAGAAAAGGTGAAACTGCATGATCTGGTTGGATCACTTAGAAACACAACCAAACATGGGGATCTGAAGAAGCAACTGAACACTGTTAATAAGCGAAACAAGGTTCTTCAACAACCACTACCAAAACCTGAACAGGAAAGGGTAAGGGAAGAATTTAGCATCTGAGTTCATTTGTTTACTTATTATCTTATTAATATATTTATTATAAATACAACAAGAAAATATATTTTAATGTATGCATGTTTATAGTTGACACAGGTATCTCTTAATGTTGGTATTTGGTATTATTTTTATGTACTTTTTAGATTCAAAGGACAGTTGCATATGAAGATGCTTCTAAAGAAGTAGCAAAATGGGACCCTGTGGTAGAGAAGAATAGAAAAGCTGATCAACTCAAGTTTCCCCTCCAGCAGCCTAATCTACGTTTACACACTACAGATCAGTTTGTCAAAAGATTTCAGGTGTGTGTGTGTTTGCCTAATTTGTGTTGCAATATGCTGCTCACTTCTCAATTTATCCCCCCCCCATGCAATCATGGTTACTTGTATTTACTTGACATCTGATAGAAAGAATGTAACAGAAACATCCATTTGTAAATTTAGAAGCTTGTAAAGTGCACTTTTTTCCACGTGTGATCTTTAAAGACTATTGGGCAAGGTGGTATGCTATGTATCTTTAATTTTTTGGAGGTACATTATTTTTACTAACTGTCTGTGGAAGATGTTTTAGATTCAGAATTAATCGGCAGATCATTTATTTTGCTTGATTGTCACTAAGTGGATCTTTTAAAAAAGGCAATACCTACCATTATGTTTTAGCCAAGGACTCCCCTTGAGAAAGAGATAGCCACCTTGTTGCATGGAAGTCAGAATGTAATGATGCAAGAGAAAGCTTTGACTGCTGCTGAAGAAAAAGCTCTAAAGGCAATGAGTCTAGAAGAGGTTGGTTACAGCAAACATTGGTTGCTTTTCAGCCCGACGACAGGGTTACAAAGTGTTCTATTCATTCTTCATTTGAGATTGAGAATAATGATGTCATGGAAGGCTGAGTATAGATCTTGGTTAGAACAGGCATGTAGTCTGAAGAAAAAATGTATAGTTAAAGAATACTTTCAGTCTTATATTTGAGTGTTTATGGTGATTTTCCTAAACAAGATTACAAAGATTTCAGTTAACTGATGATTAATATTATGTCTATCTACAGGCTAAAACTCGTAGAGCAGAGCTACAAAAATATAGAGCTCTGCTGTCTTACAAAGAAGCCAAGTCAAGACGTCAAAACAAGATAAAGAGTAAGAGGTATGTGATGTGTCATTTGCATTTTTGATTTTATCATGTAAGTAAGATGTAAGGTATATGATTATTTACCTAAATAACAGGGACATTATATTAAAGCTGTTTAATTATTGTTTTTATTATTTGCTTTTACCATTGATTGATAATGCAAGTTTATACCCACAGGACTGCAGTATGCATTTCTGTTAGTTTACTGCAGTTTCATATGCCATGAAATTGCTAATTGATAATCTTTTGTTAACTATTAGATACCATCGTATAAAAAAGAAAGAAAAAATGAAAGAGGAAAAGAAAGCATTGGAGGAACTGCAAAAGACTGACCCAGAAGCTTACCTAGAAAAACTCCAAATGCTAGACAAACAGAGAATGCAGGTTAGTGAGAAGTGTTTGTACATTAGAAAAGTATTGATATTGCTCTACTGTTGAATATTGCCCAATGCACTTCAAGTGTAATGAATTTGTTTGTAGCAAAAAGGATTCTTTCCTCAGTAGACATATTAAAGATGTAATTTTGTTTTCTGTTCCCTTTTTTCATTATTCTATTAGATTTTTCTTATTTTATCATATTTTGAAGATCTGTGCTACATGTGATTTTAGGAAAGAATGAGTTTGAAGCACAAAGGAGGCAGCAAGTATATGAGGAATGTGGTACTGTATGGGAAGCACAATGATCATGTAAGTGGTTGAACAATAAGTTGTCATCTTAATTACCACAAGGTCTTGTGCAGACATGTAAAGTTGTTCAGAAAATGAAACAGGAAATTAAAATTTTTGATGTTTGCTAAAAACCTTCAGTTTTCCAAAGTATTTACTTCATTCTCATGGTATATTTCCATGCTTTCTCTATTTTTGGTGTTTATCATTTGTTCTCTTTAATAATTTCTGAGGCAGTCAAATTTAAAACTATTACTGTTTTGTATGTAGAGTCGCCAGGCAGTTCAAGACATGTTGCAGAAAAATAAAGAATTAACCAACAAACCAGCTATATCTAGTGAAAGTGATGGCAGCGACACTGAAGAACCTATGAATGGCAACACAAGAGCAATGAGTGATAAATCTAGTGCAAATCCTTGGATGACCATGTTGCCAAAACATCATTCTGTCTATAAGAAGCCTGATGCAGTGGTAAATTTGGAAGCACAAGTTTTGATTCAAGATGAAAAATGGCAAAGATTCAGACGATAGCAATGATGAAAAAGAAATCCAGCAACCCACAAAGGAACTTGAAGCTGGAAAAAAGAAAGAAGACATTGATGATGATGTTGAATGCGAAGAAGAGGATGATGAGAGTGAAAATGAGAAACTTGATGAATTATTTGATGTTCTAGAAAGGAAAAAACAGGAGCAATTGTTGAAGTCTAGTAAAAGACCAAAGGAGAAGAAATCTAACACAAATGAACCATCTGTGAAGAAACCAGAAAAGAATGCCAAAAAGAGAACACAGGAGAAACAGAGACCAGTAAAAGATGATACATCTGGTAGTGATAGTGAAGGTAATGAGGAAGAAGAAGAAGAAGAAGAAAAAGATGGAGGTGAAAACAGTGACCTAGACTATGAAATGGAAGATAGTGGAGATGAGCTCATAACTCAAGTTTTGAAAAGAAAGCGAAAATATGAGGACTTTGAAAGAAACATGTCTGATGATGATGATGATAATCTAAAGACTTTAAAGAAAGAGAGCAAAAAGCACAAGGTAAAAGACAATGAACAGTCTAGTTCAGCAGAAGGAGAGATTCAGGTAGACCCAAAAAAGATTGTCACCGTAGGAAGTAAATCTGTATGCCCCTCACAGATTCCTAACATAGTAGGTAATGAGGAAGATGAAGAAGATCCAGTGGAAACCCAAAGGATGACAATTGCCCAGGCCTTTGCTAGTGATGATGTTGTAGAGGAGTTCAACATGGAGAAGACTCGCCTTGAAGAACGTGACAAACCCAAGGATATTGACCTGACATTGCCAGGTTGGGGAGACTGGGGAGGAACTGGGTTAAAAGTGTCTAGGAAGAAAAAGAAGAGGTATGACTATATTAAACAATTTCTTTCTCTTTCTCGGTCTGTCTCTTTACCTGTGTTGGTTTATGTTTCCCAGTAAAAGCAGATATTTATTTATGGATTTGTCCAAAAACAGACCTACATTGTTTCAAGACTAACTGATAGCAGGAGGCAATTTGTATGCTTAAAACCACTATTTCCTGTATCAGAATTAAGTGGACAGTTAATTCTAGGGATGGCATAGACTCCACGGCGTCTGTTTGAATTATAACAATGGTATTTACTCCCTATTGTTAACCATAAAATGATTTTGTCAATCCATGTCTGTTTAAGAACCCCACAAGATTCTCAAAAAATAACAACAGAACTATAATCAAGCAAAATATTTCTGAAATCTGCATTTGCATCATTTCTTAACCTACATTAAAATAAGATTTCTGAACAATTTGCTGTTGGGCATCTCGAGACAAATTTGATGGAAGGGGTTTAACATTATTACAATTTGTTCATTAGGTTCTTGATCAAAGCTCCTCCTTTGCCACCAAGAAAGGATAAAGACAAACAAAATGTCATCATCTCTGAGACCAAGGACAACAGCATAGCTAAACATCAGGTAACTCGAACCTTCCTCTTCATTGATGTGTGCTTTGGCATTTATTGCAAAACACTTGGAAAGATCAACTGTATTGTAGGCAAGTCATCTGCAGTTAATGTCAACTGAGCTATTTTATGAGCAGGGGAAACAGAAATGTCAACATCCTTGTAACAAAGAATTACAAAAAGCATTACAGAAACATTCCTTTTAGTTAAATTATGTTAAATTTAATTTTTTTATTTTCAGGTAAATGATCTGCCTTTTCCGTTCAGTAATATTAAACAATTTGAGAGTGCTATTCGTGCACCAATTGGCAAAACATGGAACCCAGAGACTGCATACCGAAAGATGATTCGTCCCAAAGTTCTGACAAAACTAGGCACTGTGATTGAACCAATGGACAAAAGTGAAGTATTCAAAAAACAGCAAATGAAGGGAGGAGGGAAGGGTTTACCAGTTGCTCAGAAAAAAGAAAAAACCAGAGGCAGTAAACAAAGTAAAAAAAGGAAACAAAAGACTTAAAATACAATTGCCCCAAAAAAAATATTGTTTTAGAACAGTTTAGTTGGTATAATCATAACATTGACTCATCTTCCATGTTACATGGAGTTATAAACTGATTACACCATTGCAACCATTATAACCATTGACCATGAAAGACATTTATATGAACCACATGAATTTTTTTCATGTGTGTAATAATGATGAAAAATATTCCATTGTTTAAAAAAAGTTTACCCTGCAAATGCTATAAAAATAGAATAAAAGCATTTCATATTGAGAGCATATAAAATTGTACTACATGCTTTTGGAAATGTTGTCTTCTGTCTGCATATTCTGCAAATCTATTCTTATTCCCTCCAATTCAGAGATATTGAGGGCTCATTCCCAATAAAACTTTTAGTCCTTGTAGATCGATCCAACTTTGAGGGGACTCTCACCATTGCAGTCTGATTAAGATATTAAGACCCCATTCCCATAGATTTTAGATCGATCTATCCCTGTGGGGAGTCTCACTAGATTACTGTCAGCTTAGCCGGCTTAAGCATCTGTCCCGCTTACTAAAAGCTGTAAGGGGGTAAACTATGGTGCCCGCTTGGCTGACTTCAATTTAGCATGAACCCCCAGGGAGGTAGGTCGATCTAAATCTCTGGATAGATCTAAATCTCTGGGAATGCACTCTAACACACCACCTGGCATAGAATAGAAAACAAAAGCCGACTCTACAAGTATGTAGGAAATGAGGTGTTCTTTTATTCTGATTGCATTCAGCCAGTCACCATGGAGTTGGATTGATCTAGGTAGATCAATAGTTTCATTGGGAATGAGCCATAAGAAATTCATTGGAAATGGTATGAAATGTTGAATCCAAGTACAGGGACAAAATTGGGCAACAATTTGAGTGCAGATTTATTTTACGAGAGAAATTAGATTTGGTCAAAAATATCAGATAGGACGACCAAGTAACAATCAAGCTGGTAATTTTCAGAACAAATCTTAAACCTCAATTTCTCAATGCTGTGTATAATAACTGCCAAACCATATTTTTGTTTTACTTTAAAGGTGCATATGAAATCAAGTTTTTGCCACAAAAGCCAACCAAATGCCAGTATAGTTTCAAGTAGTATAACTAAGAGAATTGCCAAAAGGCATCGTTTAATTTTACCCAAAAAATATTTGAACAGGTTTTTCTGCTTGCATTCTATGCTGTATATCAATGGGGCAGAAAAGAAGGTCAAATTTCTGACCAAACATTTAAAGAAAGGAGCAATCTAAAGCTCTTTTATGACTGATCGAGTGATTTATTCAGTTTATCCCTTGGCATGTCAAATTTACTGGAGTCATATAAAAAACTAGTAGTGGTTTACATGTGTTACTGGTAATCCATGCTCCAATGATGCTCGGTTCGCATGTACCTTTAAATATCAATGCAAAGGTCTTGCAAACAAACAAGATTCCTTTTCTAGATTTATTATGTACAAAATGCCATTCAGCATGGCCATCGTACAACAGAACAAAACTGCATGTACAACAGACTTGGATTTTACAACTCTCCATTTATTTTACTGTACTTAAACTAGTCTCTAAATAACAAAATTACTTCTACAGTACAGTTGCCATAATGACAGACATTCTCTTTCACATTCACAATTGATCTTTGTTCTCTTACATTCAACTTCAAAATAAATTCTCCTTCAGAATACATTTTTAAATGCCAGTATTTGCCCTAATGGTATTTCAACTTTATCCTCTTGACCATCTCCAGATAAACAATTGTGCTTTATTAAGACAAACATCAACAGCATGTACCCTTATGAGATCAATAGGTTTGATTTCAGTCCCTGATTGATGATTAAAGAGGTTGGAATGTTGAAACAAAAGAAGTTGCACAGGCTTTTCTTCAATCTCTTGATCTCTCTCTACCCAGCTGTTTAAAAGCTGAAGCCCCCTGCTGGAACTTGGGTTGCAGGTTGGAACTCAAAATTGTTGCTATTTTCACTGCATGTTGGTGCCAGGCTTTCATCCTCATCATCACCCTGGTGAAAACAAACATGGCAAATATAGTGAAAAAATCAGTCAAATTTTACAAAGCAAAGCTTACCATAACGCTACTTTTAATACACAGTGACTGAATATGCAAAAAAAGCACCGACTTCCAAGGGATTAAGTTCAAAAATCAAACATAAGAGGAAAATTATTGAAAGTGTTCAGAAATGCCTTCAGCAAAAGGAAGTACTCACATCTCCACCAAAGTACTTTTCAATGATACCATAGGCTGCTTTGTAGACCTGTTCATTCTCATGTTGCTGCAAGTTTTCTATCTTCTCCATACCCTCTACTTCTTCTATCATGATACAGACTGCTTCAGACTGACCAAGTTTGTCTGCAGCCTACAAATTGAATTTACAATATTTTGAAAGATCATGAGGAGGAAGGGTGGCATGTCCATGTTACCGTCTTGGCAAGTTTAACTACACGCTCATTTCTTTTTTTTTTTCATTTTTTCTTTTTTGATATACAGATTTCACAGTTATCCATTTTAGTTCCATTATTATAATCAACACACATTTTATTTAGTTTACTGTAAGAGATTTGAGATTAGGATACTTACATTGAGAATATTCTGCAGTGCGTCCAGAATGACCAAGATAACTTTAGCTTCCTTTGCTGTGAGCAGATTACAAAGTGGTCGTAAAACACCACACTGAACCAAGTGAACAATTTGCTCAACAGTTCCACCAGAGGTCAGGTTAGTCACTGCCCAGACAGCCTCTTTCTGAGTTTTGAAGTCTCCCTTAAAATAAAGACAGAAGCTAAATGGTTGGTAAATAATTATTTTGTATTTAATGCTATGAAAGCATGTTCTATTATCAATGTTATTTCATTTTTCAAAAAGCTAGAAACCACAAACGTTGCATGCATTCTACACACCTTGACCAATAGGTTAACAACATTGGGTATCACACCAGCATCAAGTACTGCCTGAATCTGTTGAGTATTCCCTGCAGTTATATTTGAAACTGTCCAAGCAGCTTCCTTCTGTATGCTGGACTTGGAGTGGGTGAGCAGCAAGTTAAACACTGGGACGGCACCAGCATCTATAACTGCCTAGAAAGTAACATGCAGCCATAAATCCATTATGTTTAAATGTCAATATGCCCAAAAACTTTTCTTTTATAGATAATGCTTTTTGTAAGTAATCTGCAAGTGAATAAAATCTTAAGTTTTGGAAAAAAAAAAGCATAAAATGTGCACTTTACAGCAAATGAATTCAGAACCATCCTACTAGAGTTCATAGGTGATTAGGGCCTCTATATTTCATTTCCACTTACTTGTGTTTGACCATCATCCCCTGTAACAATATTGCCCACTGCCCGCAGTGCTGGGGTTACTATGGATGGTTCTGGAGAAGCTAGCAGCTCAACAAGCCTGGGAACAACACCTGTTTTGAAAGAAAATGAAAACATGTTCCTTCATTTTAATTTGTCACACATTCATAAAGACATAAAAAAACAGCAAATAACAATAATATTAATAAGAATAATAAACAAACAAATAAAAATAAAACTTGTGTAAGGAGATGCACTGTAACCTGATCAAGGATGTGCATCTTTGTATCAATGATCAGTAAACTACCTGAGTTAAGAACCTCCTGTATCTTGTCATTAGTACCATCTGTCAGATAGGACAGTGCCCAGCAAGCATCAGACAGAACTTCTTTGTCAGTGTGCAGTAGTAGTTGGCTCAGTGTGGGGAGGCACTGCTTGACTGTAGCAAAGGGGGGAGGGGGGTTCTTATTGCGGCACATGTTCGAGATTGTCCAAGTTACATTCCTTAGGAAGGAGGTCTAAAAATGACAAGGTATATATAAAAATAATTCATTTTCATTTACTTAGCATTAAACTTTACTTTGATATCAATACCAGCCCTTTACTTTTAAATCTCCCAATCAGATATGTACAAGATGCAAGAACCAATAAAACCTTTCTAAAGAAATAATGGCATTCATAATAAATATAGCCTTTTTGCTCCACTTACCTCAATCTGTGGTTTCACCAAACTCAGTAGAGGCTCAACAGCACCACATTTTATCACATAGTCTCGCATTTCAGGACCATCACCTAGAAATGAGTACAAGTACTAAAGCTAATTTTCCCAAGAAAATTGGCCACTGCAATGGTGAAGTTGAATTTTTCAGTCCCTACATGTAATGGAAAGGTGCGAAATGGTTCACACAAGTCAATTTTACTGCACCATTAATCCATGCCAATTAACAAATGGAAAAATAAGAGCTTATAGGGGGGAGCCATTCAACCTACCACACTTGTAACTAAAATATTTTTTTAATTTCTCTTCAAGGCATATATCAATGATGAGGCAAAACTGTCTACAGTGAAGATAAAAAGTATGGCCAAAATCCTCAGCAACTGCATGTTTCTGATATACCTGCTAAAGAGGTACATACATATATATATATATATATCAGTGACACATACTTTCTACAATGTTGCTTGGAATTTCTTGTAAATTATTAGGTCACATGTCACAATAATTCATACCAGCAATGTTTCCAACTGCCCACACAGCTTGTTCACTGACATTGTGATGAGGGGAGGTAAGCAGTGCTATGAATGGTACCACTGCATTGGCATTAACCACAGCTTTGGTCTGAGTGGATGTTCCAGACGCCACATTGGTCAGGGCCCAAGCTGCCTCAAACTGAAGTTCAGGCCTGAAATAAACCAACAAAAAGAAACCTTCAGTGAAAGCTGTCTCAATCCTTCGAGAGGCAATTTTAGCTGCAGTCTTTATGGAACATTTTTGTAATTCTTTACTTTTGATAAAAGTTATAAGTGCAACCATTTTCCTATAAACACTAACAGATTATCAACATCAGGTACCCTTCAGCAAAAAACATTTTTAAGTTGTGAGGTTTTATAAACTGCTGCGAATGGCAAAAATAAGCATGTTGGAGATTTTCAAACCAGTGGAGTGTACCTTAAACTATCATAATTCAAGGCATTTACATCATAAAATATAAAAAAACACGCACCTGGAGTCTAAACATTTCAGTGTTTAATTATTTCATACAGTAATTAAATGCTTTTCCAAAACCTGACAGTACCTGTCATTGTAACGAAGAAATTCAACTAGTCTAGGGATGACCCCTGATTGTATGATGCTATCAATGGGTGGATTTCTTTCCCGAGATAACATTTTACGGGCAGCTTGTGTTGCAATCATCTGCTTCTGTGGATCAGTGCCATGAATGCTGTCCACTATCTCCTGCAGGCTCAGACCAACATTCTGGAATTACCAAAAATCAAATGTTAAATTTGAAAAAAAAAAATAATAATAATAATAATAATGATAATTACAACTCGGCAAAATGAGTAAAAATGTAGATATCTTTCTTCTCCACCCTAATTTAACATTCAAATCCCTCTTTCATACAAAAGTGGAGAAGTGCCTCACTTGTTTTTGTTCTTGTAGAGGACTAGTTGGTTCATCAGTAATGGCAACATTTCGTCTTTTTAGCAGCTGATCATCTTTCTTATTTTTCCTCAATTCAACAGACACTTCATTTCTTCTTCTTCTCAAATCCTGGAAAACATGAAATAAAAGAATTGTGAGGTTAAAGGTTCACAAAGGTTAATCAAAGAAAACAAAACTCTCAAGATAAATTACTGGCTTCTAATTTTGCTTTCAAGATGCTGGCTTAATGACTAATATAAACTCAATTAACCTTAGCCATTTATAAATGGTAGCATATCCACGCTCGGCTGTCACCTTGATTGGATAGTAAACGGTTGTCGTAAAATCGCTAAATGATATTAAAACCCGGTGCATAAACTTGAAAACCACCTAGGACAACCTTAGACTGCCACATTAATCCAACACAACGCAAAAATAAACTATAACAAGTGTTTAAAGCCTTCAAACCGAATGTCGTAAAGTCCCCATATACCTCCATAGAGACAATAAAATAGAAGAAGCTTCTGAAACAAACCTGACCCAGTTCCAACAGAATAATCGAAATAAAATACTGCCGGGCATCGGAGCGGCCTAAAACTTGGCACGCTTACCGCTAATACTGCAGGCTACATCATCCCGTCGCTCGTTTGTAAATTCCGTGCATGGCATACGCACAATCAAACCGTATATCCAAATTCCACCTCTGATGTTTGAATTGGTCCTCTCTACAATCCAATTCAGGAAATGACGTAACCGCAGAGGTCGCATTGTCCAATGGCATGGCTTCTTTTTCGTAATGGTAGGTTAGAGAGGACCAATTCAAACATCAGAGGTGGAATTTGGATATACGGTTTGATTGTGCGTATGCCATGCACGGAATTTACAAACGAGCGACGGGATGATGTAGCCTGCAGTATTAGCGGTAAGCGTGCCAAGTTTTAGGCCGCTCCGACGCCCGGCAGTATTTTATTTCGATTATTCTGTTGGAACTGGGTCAGGTTTGTTTCAGAAGCTTCTTCTATTTTATTGTCTCTATGGAGGTATATGGGGACTTTACGACATTCGGTTTGAAGGCTTTAACCACTTGTTATAGTTTATTTTTGCGTTGTGTTGGATTAATGTGGCAGTCTAAGGTTGTCCTAGGTGGTTTTCAAGTTTATGCACCGGGTTTTAATATCATTTAGCGATTTTACGACAACCGTTTACTATCCAATCAAGGTGACAGCCGAGCGTGAGCATATCCATGCAGTGCCTGTACATAGAAAGTGGTATCAAAACTGAAATGGTGTATTTGAGCCAAGCTAATACAAATGTATATCCTTTACTTTACAAGAACCAATGTGGCATAAACTTCAGTGACGACATATGCTGTGTTTTAAAAATTAGGTGAACTTACATCCACATCTCTTCCCTTGTTCTTGTAGGCTTTGAGGCGGGCAGTGTTCTCTTGAGACGGCATATTTGGCACTAATGGAGAATCTATAAAAGTCTTTTGGGTATTTGATCACAAGAGATACAATGCGTGAAAGAAAAGATTAACTGATATATCTGACAGTTTCTTTGCTGTTCACGTATGAGCTTCTTCACTGCAGTCAGTAAACTGGAAAAAAATGAAAGAAACATCACCGTTTTAAACTACCTCATATCCTATTAGAAATGTGACATCTAATAACTATTGCTACACATGTTTAATTAAACAGAGCTTTTGTGTTGTCAAATCATTTCTCTTAAATGACATTTTTTAAATTTCACAGATAAGCACAAATACCTTGCCTTACCTTCGGCGTGTGTACAACTTTCGAAAAGTGCGTACAAATTTAAAGGGCCAAAATCTGATAATCTGATTGGCCAGTACTGAAATGCCCCGTTTACCTATTGGTCAGATTTTGCGTAGACAAAACAACACTATTTGAAATTTCAGCAAAACTGAGCCAGGCATATTTTCTGCAAATCATAAATTATATTGAAAGTGACGTAAACATGTAAACAGAAAATATTTGTTAATATAAATTTGAAACCAATTAACGACTTAGTGCGCATGTCTATTGTTTACATCTGTTACTTCCGGTTTTCAAAATGTCTGCAGACGAAGACACTGAACTCCGTGATTTAGTGGCCCAGACTCTTGAAGCCAATGGAACATTGGGAAAAATAAGGGTAAGAATAAGCGACCCCTATTAATCTTACACAGGATAGATATAAGAATTTTTAATTTCCCCAAGTTGGGGTGAAAAGGGAAAGATTTGTTGAACAACTTTCATTCAATGGCACGAAATCGAAGAAACGGTCTTTCCTTCACTCTTACACGCAGACATTGCTTGCCTGCTCCTTCAAAAGCTTGGTATTCCCTGAACGAATGTAGATATGCATGGGAAATGTCAGCAGTTCTTAAAATTTTAATAAGTAGCTTTTATCTTCTGTCTATAATAACACCCGATGAAATTCGAATGTACTGCTACTGTATGTCTCCTTTCTATAGGCACAACTAAGGGCCAGTGTCTTTGTTGCTCTTGAAGAACAAGACACTGTTCAGGTAGGTCAAGCAAATTATATTGTTTTTATTATGTTTTATGTAGATAGATACTTATTTAATATTTTTTATAAATTTTTGTAATATTTTAAGGATTTTAAAATTGTTGCTTATCAACAGCAAAAAGTGAAGCCAAGGCATTTGTGTTCATCTCTGTTTAGACAAGGCATGTTGTTAAGAATGTGCATGGACATTGTGCTGTTAGATTCAGCTGTATAAACCATCAAATTGTGAAAATGGCATGCAGCCACCATATATGCAAAGAATCAAGAATGGACTCTGCAAAGTTTCTATTAAAAGATAAAGAGATTTTACAATTGATGTTTCAGAACAAAACTCCCTTTATTAATCAGGATTTAAAGAAGTTCCTGAACAGCAAAGAAGGTATAATGATGCATATTTCTGTTGGTTATGAAATGTGTGTTTTAACTGTGAAAATGATTCTTCCAGATGAAACAAAGTTTCAAATAACATATAATGTAATGTAATGTAATGTAATGTAATGTAATGTAATGTAATGTAATAACACAAATTAACAAATAACCTAAATGTTTGATTTCTAATTATTTATTTTGAGATGTGTTTGATTTCGTTAAGTTGCTAAGCAAAAACTTTTTATGAGACCAAAAAAGCACATTTTATGATTTTTTAGACAATTAATTTCTGAATTGTCCTTCCAGGTCGTTTGGCAACCAGTCTTGTTAGGGAGTTCTTGGAGTTTTTTGGTCTTGATTTTTCAATTGCAGTGTTTGACCCAGAGACTGGATTTGTAAGTCTAATTAGAATATAAAATAACATGTATTATTGATCATGACATCCAGAGTCAAATAAATCCAACTTATCATAAAACTGATTTTTAAAGTTTCTGAATTTATTTTGAATACCATATGGATTTCCCCTTTCCAATTAATATTTGTGGATTTTATTCTCTAGGCAGAAAAATATGAGGGGCGTGATAATATAGCCAAAGAGTTGAATATACTGGAATCAGACAGCTCCCTACGAACACCTTTGTTGTCAGAAGTACTTAAGAGACAAGGAGAAGAAAAACAAGGAAGACCAAAGTCAAGTCATGAGGTGAGACTTTAAAAAGAAAAATATTTTATTTGTTTCATTTTATCAGTCAGGTCAGACAGAGTTAGAAATAGGATTTCATGTTTTATTGTACTGAAATACATTATTCAGTAAAAGTGTCATATATGCCTGAAAACTCAACGATATCTTACTTAATCAATTTGTTATATGAGCACTGAAATATTATTTCGTCAATTGCAGAACTTTCAGGTTTGTTTGATTAAAAGTCATTTAGTATGGATGAAAATCTGAGACACATAAAAATGGCTATCCAGATGTGGTAACAGTGTTGTGACTGTAGTGGCACTACTCAGATAATTGCCTAAAGCTTGTTCTTTTAACTCATTTTGAAGTGGTTTTGAATACCAAATATACTAATAAATGTTCATCTTAAAAGTATGTTAAAAGACTTTGTGGTTTGAATTGTTGTAAAGGCAGCGAACTGTCATTCATTTTCGAGTTGGGGAGGGTGAAGATTCTCTATATATTATTAGGCAGTAAACCTGCTTATTTCAGTGAATTCTGCATATTGATGTTATGTCTACAGAACTAAAAGCCATAGCTGTAGAATTTATTCCTGTGCTTCGATATACCAGAGCTTGAGTCAATGTTTTGCATGCTTCCAAATATAGTGTAGATTATTTCATTATGTAGTTGCTTATGTGCTTACATTTGTTGTTTTTTTTTTATGAGAAAGTGTATTTTGCATATAGATCTATGAGAAGTCAAAAGTCTTTCAAATGTAAAGCTTTGTGAGTGTATTGTGCTTTGTATTTTATTCAAGAAATACACAGAAATGAAATTTGTTATAGAGTGATAGGTAGAGAGGTAGAGAGGGGTTACATGTGACAACTTGTAATGATATAAGTGATTACAAATGGCAGCTGTAGATACAGTCACGTTATGTTCCTATATCTTGCTTTCTCATCTTTATTTGTTTTCTTTAACTTTCACTGAAAATCTTTATCCAATGAAATCTTTTGTAATTTATTGAGTGCAATATAGTTTTGTTTTTCTTGGCATAGCCTTTTATTTCATTTTCTTATTTGTTTTGAACACTACCTTCAACCAGTCAATTGAAAGGCGGAAAAAATATTTTCAAATGTTTTCCTTTCTTATGATTTAGGTTCTGCTTTTTAATGATTAACTACATATACTTTCTATTTTTATCTCTTTTCTTCCCAACACAGGATGACTCTCAAGACTACATAAAGGTCCCAAAGGTAGTACTATCATCCACATGCATGTTCTTCTGGTTTCAGTATTTCATCAGTATGAAAAATAGCTTATATAAGATTATCATTAGTGCATGGTAGTTAAAGAGCAGGTTTGTCAATTGAGCATATCTGTATTACCCATGATAGGATGGTATATGATTGAACATTAAACTCATCCTTCATGTTTCTTCAGTTCAGATGATTTAAGATATGAGATTATTATTATAAATATTACTATTTTTACAAATTTTTAAGAAAGAATAATTTTATGTTGTTTGTTTACATTTATCTTGTGAATAAAATGGTGCATGTCAAATTTTGTCGAGAGAGTATAAAAATATCATTTGATAGAACGGATGAAAATCTGAAATGTTTGATATTTTACTTTAAATGCAGCAACATAATATTTCAATCTTTGGTAGATTTTCACTTTTTCACGGATTTTGTGTTACATATTGCACAACTAATTTTGTATTTCACAACATGATTTGAAATTGATGGATATCTAATATTGTTTGATTTGCACAGTGGGAAGGGGGTAATTTGAGTTGATGTATGGTGGGATGTGAAAATTTGGATTTTCAGTATTTGTTACATGCACATAATTTATATTCAGAGGAACTTATTGGGCATATACGATGGTGTGTAATAGTGACCGAAAATGAAGCATCAGCTATAAATCTGTACAAATTTTAAAAATAATTTTACTTAACTTATTCGTTATCTGCATATATACTAGCTATCATTGATGCAAACATTCATAGCATGTAATGGTTTGTTAACAGCATGTTGTGAGGACACATTGATGAAAAAACTATTCACTTTTTAGGATTTGTCCAAAAAGCAAATAGAGGAAGCTCGCAAAAAATTTGACAAGTATGACCTTGTAAGTATATTTATCTTAACCAATTTTTTTTTTTTTTTAGTAGAGAAATTGACACAAGCTATATATCTTAGTTAGTACGTAAGCAGCTTTTTACCCAAGCTGTTCTAGCAGTTACAAAATCAGTTGAAGGACAACTGCTAGAACAGCTAGAAGGGCCTCAGGTAGAGAGGAGACATATGATGAATACATATTACAAGAAGTTTTTATTGTACTCTTTGTTTTGTCTTTCTTTTTTGTGCTAGAGAGATATATGATAAAATGTTATTTGGTAGAATTATTGAAATGTTCTTTTTTTAATTAACAATTTAAGGATGGAAGTGGCACAATAGACAAAGATGAATTAAGAAATCTATTTGCTGATGTGTTCCCACACTTTCACAGGTATGTTATATTATTTATGCAAAGGTATTTTTGTAAATAGCATTATGCATTAGGATTTGTCATTTGGGACTTGCGAAACTTTGTGAAAACATTATGTCATTAGGATGAACATTACCATAATGGTAAGTTTAAATTTATTTATTTATTTATTTATTTATATTTATTTATTTATTACAGGAATATGCTGGAGAGATATGTGAATGATGAATTCCAAGCAGTAGACAGAGACTTCAGCAATGGTAAGCCAAGGATTTATATCCCTACCCAGAATACTATTTTGTTCAGTTCTGAATGTTTTAGGACCAGTTCATGCACTTTTCAATGAGGTATATGATATAGTAAAGAAAAGTTATTTTTACCATTCATATCATCTTTTTTAATTTTTAATGTGCAATTAATCACTCCTGGAATAAAGTTAATATTCGTTTTCATTATTTTTAGCTATAGACTTTGATGAGTTCTTAAGCATGTACAAGCGTCTGTTTGTATTATGCAAGAGTGTGGTCTCCCATGATATTTCTGACTTTGTGCCAACTTCACCGAGGCGGACTGTAGATACCACAGTGGGTAGTAAAATACCACAGCCTGCTAAAAAGGTACTGTTGTATAGTACTATGTTAAATTTCCTAACTGGGATCTGGTAATAAAGTTGATTTATTTTTTGTTTACAAGTTTGCCATTGATTTGGACTAAAAATATACAATATGCCGTAAATGTTTGCTTGAGTAATAAGTCTCAGATACACATACAGACAATAGGAGTTTTTTGAGGGCTTAATCTAATAAATCCATCCTACGGAGTGATTAAAATCCTACAAGTACACATGTTTTCAAACTAAGTATGGATGATCTTTATGCTATAATATAGATTAATTTGTGCAGATATGTTAGGAACTGATTAAATTAATGCAAAGTTATCTTCTATTTTGTTTCCTCTATACCAGGGTAATAATTTAGTTAATGGGAGCAATCAGCCTTCAAACAAAACTGGGTCACAGCAGCAACAAGAACAGAAAAAGGAACATAAACTCAGCACCAGTTCATTGGGCAGCGATCATGATGATGATGCCTTTTTTGATGATCCATTGCCAAAGTCTGACAAATCTTATGGAAGGTGAGACTGTGGGGCTAACACACATGATATAGAATTTCAAATATAAAATTACCTGAAAATGCATATTAAAAAGCAGTGATATTTATGTGACCTTAAGTATTATGCTTATTTTTTTCTTTATTATTTTTTGAAGAGTTGACAGCAGTGTTTATACATGGTCTGATATATAATATATAATCACTCTTCCCTACAGAAAAACAAAAAAGGTCTCACCCCTGGGCTCCGGGAAACCCTCCCAGATCCCCATATTATCCCCTGACAGGAGGTTAGTCCACCCGTGTGGGTTAGACTGCCCATGCATGCTTGTTGCTAGGCAGCTAGAAGTACAATTTTTTCCTTACATGAGGTGCCATCTGCTGGGTATTTTAAAGATACAGAGAACCATTAACATGTTAAATGAGAAGATATGCTTGAAAATGAAAACAGTTTGTAATCTGAAAGGCAAAGGAGGCAACTTTTTTATCAAAATGAAGNTTGAAATTGACCCTTGACCTACCTTACGAAGAACTTAAATTTGATTGTACCATATATATTTTTTGCAATAGTTTAAAAATTCTTGTTGATTGCATTTTTACAGCTTGTCAAGCACAAAACTGGTGGCTGTGTCCCTTATTTTGTGTATGTGGGGGTCTATACGAATGCGCTTGCTCCAGCTGGTGGTACAATATTCGGAGGCGGTATCGCCTCTCTGATCCTCTAGTTTTTTTAGGACTTCTAGATTTTAGATCATACATGAAGTTTTGTTATGGTGAGAAATGGCAGAAAATTATCTAAAATTGTGTTTGAATATTGTATATTTGAATGAATAAAAAGAGGAGCTGACTGTATCATTTAGGAAAGATAGTGAAAATGGGATCAAAACTTTTTTTGTCAAATAATTGCTTCCTTTGCCTTAGAACAGATTAGATATCAATTTTATCATGTGGATTTTGTCTGGTTTGATATCTGAGAATGACAAAATATGATATTCAGTAGATGTCTCCCCAGTTTTTAAATTCATTTCTAACTATGCAGCCTTTGGTCCCAGCACAGACTAACACCAAGCTTCCCCCTTTCTGGCAACTAACAGCCATTTGGTGTTCATAGGACTGCACTCATGGACTTGTGGTGGTGTGCCATTTTTGAAATACAGTTCATCCTTGGTGATTAGAAAACAAACGTGTGACAGATGATTTAGACTGGGTATTTCCCATACCCAGATGTTAGTCAGTGAGTGAAATATCAAAGCAAGTAGAGTCTGCTTAAAAAATCCTATAGATAACCCTTCCCTTGTTTTGCATTCCCATTTTATCAGTGCCTTGTCCCTGGCAAGTTTTGTCATGCAACATTGTCAAGTTATTACTGGTTTTCTTGATTCATCTTATCTACAATTTCTTGTGCTTCATCAATTTCTGCCTTTATAAAAACATATTTGTTTTATTGAACATTCAAGAATTCTAATATGTGCCATTTACTTTTCTTTCAATTGTTGGTTCTAGGATGAGAGCATAAATGCTTAAAAAGAGTGTTACTATTGGTATTAAGATAAAACATTTTTTCCACAAACTTTTTGGATTTTATAACAGTGGATTAATTGTCACTATAGTCCAATCCCCTATTTCCCTAAATTTATTTATCAGAAAAGGTAAGTGTTTCAAACATGGAGTTACTTGATGGACAAAAAAGGTATATAAATGCAGTCAATTTTAAATCTACCGGCATAGTTCACTATATCCTCAGGACATCACCATGCAAGTTAGTAGTTCAATAGACCTCAGCAGTTTGAGTGCAATCCATGTACTGCTGTGAAATTAGCAACATCATAGCTATTTCATATAGATTAATTTAAATCAAACACCTTACTGATTGGTTTTACTGTTCCTTAGATGTTCCTAATATGATTCTATTATCAGTGATTTTGTTACTAGTAACAGTGTGCAAGTATATATATTTACAGTATATACACCCATGTACTATGTCTGCACATTGCTTTTGTGTTGAACTAAGTGATCTGTTGCAGGTTTAAACTAATATTGATGTGCTTAAGTACTCACTCAAATATTTATAACTAACATTTACTGAAAGTCAAATATATGTGTAGTAATTATCATAATACATTATCAGTGGAGGCAGTATGACTTGAAATTAAAATATCACACCATGTGTGTATGTGCATAGTTATGTGAATTATTTGATCACATTGTAATTTGGATGAACATGTATGTTATGTATTCCCTGTTTTTTCTAAACAAGTCATTTAACATTTTAATTGTGACTTCAGTAATGCCAGCAAAGAAAAATCCAGTAAAGATAACAGTGCCTCCAGCAGCAGTATTTCACAACAACTAAATAGCAGCAGTAAAATGAACAAGTCTGGGGTCCAGCAGACCAATGGAGGCAGTGGGATGAGCTCCCTACAAGGCATGCCACCCCTAGGAGGAAGTATGCTAGGTTCCCTGAAAGATGTGCCACCTTTACCTGGTGTAACAAAGGAAAAACCAGGTAAGATAATAACACTATAAAGTTACTCTGGTATATAGCAAACACAGTTGAAAGCATTTGTTTTAAATATGCATTTAAAGTCATATTTCTGCCACAAAATCCAAACAAATGCTACTATACAGGTTCAAATAATATAACTAAGAGAAATATTAAATTTTATCTCCCTCAACTCTCTTTAAAACCCTTGAAGCCCTGTTTTAAACCCCTGTTATTTCAAGGAAAATGGAGCATTTAACCTGATGGCAAGACATTAAAAATCCTTGCATGTGTATGGCGTAACAAATTTGGGCATACCATGATTTTCAGATTGTGATTTTTTTTTTTCAGATTTAAATGCAACAGCAGATCTTGAAAAAGACCTTAGAGCAATAGATAAAAGGATTGCTGACCTTGGATTTGGTGGGTTTCTTCAAAGAAAAAAGAAAAAGTGTGCTCATACAGATATTTTTAATGCATATAGAGAACCTAAGAAGCAGTGACAAGCAAGAACCATGCATCTTCTTATGGTGAAATATTTAGTCTTATAGCCTGAACATAATCACACCCTGATCCATTTCTCTAAACATTTTCAATAACTATCAGATTTGAACTTTTACTTTTATTTCCACTTAAATCCTTTATCGTTCATGATAATGCTATTCCTTTTTACTTAGAATTGCCAGATGATGACGATTATGAAGATGATTTTCAAAGTGAGAGAAGTGATGGGTAAGTATAACCAAAGATGCTAGTGATATTTTAAGGAAGGCTATGATTCATTACTTTTTATATAACTGGACAGTTTACAGACTCCTCAGTATGCCTGGGGTTTTAACATGTATCAGTACAGGTACTTATGTAAATGAGGTTTTCTTATATTGATATTTTAATTGCTTGTAATCACTTGGCAGCTGCAATTTTGCTGTTATTTTGAGCAGATTGTTAGAATTAAGCATCAACTTCACTCAGTGATTTCCATTTCCTACAAATCAGCATATTCACTCTTGGTTAGCAATAAACCTTGGGTAGTTGGATATTTATTTGTAAATATTTAAAGAAAGTGAGGTTAATGTGAAGCATGTGTCCATTGGTACTTCATTTGTCATTGTAGAAAAAGTAATTCTCAGAGCGCCAGGAGTAACAGGTCTGATAAGCAGGACAGATCTGAGAAGAGTCAGAGTATAGCAGAAGAAATAGATGAGGAGATTGATGAAGAGGACTTTTCAGGGGCAGATGATATTTTAAAAAGCAGTGGGGTAATTGTTTATTAATTATTATTATTATTATTTAATTAATTTATTTATTTTATTAGTGCTGTTGTTATTAACATTTGGCAATGATGACATGGTAGTCTGGTTGCAGTGATAAGCTGAGCGGCTAGTAGTAATTACTGCATTGCTTTGAAAAACAGGCTTTAGATATTTTTCAATATTTCAGATGGATGACTTGACAACTGACAGAACAATTTCCCAGCAAGACATGCATGGAGACCTGGATTATATGGAGGATGTGCTAACACCATAACTGTCTTGCATTATTCCATGTGTACCTCCTGATAGCACCATGGTTAGCACATGTTTGTCATGCTTTGTTTGTACTAAATGGTTAGCCATGTGTAAGATATTTGACAGTGGTCTTGCCAAAGAGAACTGGAGGGACATTATTTGCATGAAGAAAAATGCAAAGAAGTTTCCCTGGCATCGTCGGGAATTTTTCAGCTCTAAACAATTTCGTTGTTGGGATCCAAGCTCAGAAATACCATTTGTAAGAATGTCCTTTTATGAGCATTTATGATTAAGTTGGCTAAGCCCTGTGAAAGATATCACATTTTTCTTCTTTTTGACTTGGATTTCAATTTTAATGCTTGAAAAGGATAGAACATGCCATGAGACATACATACAGGTTACGTAATATATATATATATATATATATAATTCATCATAAAAATTTATCAATACCTGTAGGTGTGGAACTCAAGTCGATTTTAGAATTTTATTTTAAGATTATTCAAATTGATACTCATTGCTTTAATGAAGGTATTAAAGTGAAATGTTTTGTTTTTTTTTTTTTTTTTGTACAGTGTGAGTCGTTTATATAGACATAATAAATATCGGCTCTCTGCTGACTTATCCTTTTAGATTGCAGCATTCCAATCATCATGTTATCATTTGTAAAAAAATACTCATTGATCATTGTGAAATCAGGACCCTTAGTTTGCCAAACAGGACTATTCCTACTGAAGGTATTGGAGGTGTAATTACAGTGACTGGAAGTCTGATATTATTCTCACAGCAAATATTGTATATATTTGTAAGGAAATTAATTAAATACATATAAAACTGGTGTTATTTCTAATTATGAAATATACTTTTGCAGTGATGAATATGAAAAAATTGTTTTTCTTTAAAGGAATGACTTTTTACAGTTGACACATTGTATTATCAAATTATTTCAGAGGTTTGCGTCTTTAATTTTCACCCAGTTTTATAAAGTGTTTACACCTTTTGTATGACGCTAAATTTTGCCCTGGCTTTCATATTGTAGAAAGTATGCTGAAGTTTTGAAATACAAATGTTTGTGCAGTTGTGATGTCAGTTCTCATTGTGATTCCGCTGGAGTTTGTTGAAAAAAGTTTTTACATCAGGAAATAGAAGATATAAACAACTTTTTGCTTTATCTTTCATGACTGTTGTAAACTGTTTTGTGGATATCGTTCGTTAATAATGTTTATCGGATAATACTTTTTCTCAGATAATCCGTTAAAATTTTAAATCTTTGTCAGAGAATTTCTTGACGTTTTGATATCTGAAGGTTGACTCCGCAATATTATTTGCTACCTCCAATAATTATATTTGGAAATCAAACCAATATTTTTCTTATATTTTGAAAAAAATTAATTTCATATGCTATGAACTAGTAGTCATTTTTCAGATTAAAGATGTAGATTTGATTAAAGACTACTTTTCATAGGCAGTACAATAAAGATGTCTTTGAAGTGAATTAAGCATGGCAAGGTCAGCATTTTCACCAATAGTTTTTTGACCTACCATAGTAATTTAATTAAAAATAATATGTTCAATATACATATTATTCACCCACCTCCTCTTTCATGTTTAACGAAAATACAAACAAAACTTACAAAATTTTCATGCGTATTGTCTTTTATATCTATACTCAAAGCTCCCAAAACCTGCTTCTTGCCGAAATGTCTACATACATACAAAATTTCACGGATTGTATTGCTTCCCTTATCTAAACTCGATGTTTTCGTTATCCTAGCAGGGCTTATTTTCTAAGCACTTCACAAATAATAGAAGCTATAAACACAACGGCGGCACATAATACAAACGATGTTTGTTCGGCGAAGAGGAATCAATAAGTAAGGTTTGCACTGAGCTGTGGTGTTAAAACGCTGCATTACCACTCTAGCAAAATGAGTGGTAGGGTCAGCGTATTAGATATACTCGAGAGTAACAGGCAAGTTCTAGATTGGTTTACGCAGTCGTCCGACCCCAAGCAAAGCATTCTAAATGCTGTCAGTCTCCAAAACGTCAAAGATGACGATGTGTGGATTACAAGTTTTCCTGGGTCTGGTAAGATTGAACGTGACAAATCAAATATTTTCAGTTGCTGAATAACGGTAATTCACTTATTTAAATATGCTGCAAATTGTTTATTCCCAATAACTCTGACAAAACCCACACCGCAAGCCGTTGGCTTGAATATCCTAGTTTCATGGTTTCAGTTGTCATAACAGTTATGAATGTGTTGTTTGCCCAGAAAACCCTCTTTACAGTAACTGTCAGTGAGTTGGTAGTGATGTCGTGTTGTCACGATGCAAAATATGTTCTTTGCACAACAGTCAGATTATCTTAACTCAATATAGGACCTTCATTATTCAAAGAGTACGCGAAGGTGGATCTATGGCGGGCCCAGCTTGTTCTTTCAAAAAAGGGATAAAACCCCGACTCACTCTGGGTCCGCTTTCACATAGGCCTACTTCAAAAGGGTCGAAATTGCATCATTTAATTTCAACTAATTCTCTGCAGTGGTGAGTGAGAGTAAAGACGTAGTAGGGACAAAAAATTAATTGCCTTAACCTTTTTTGAAGCCTTGTATCTGTTATTTGTGCATGTGGTCATTTGTAGTAATTTGAGTGTTTAATCGGTTTAGTATAGCAGCTTAGCGGCTTTGTATAGTTTCCTGTACAATTGTATTGAGATTCGTTTCATAAATGCTTATTACAGGATCCTGAGACATTTTTTAAATATTTGAATTACTCAAATTTTCTAGGCGCACACTTGATACTTGCACTAGTCTCTGAAGCATTGGGGCGACCTCAACCTTCCACCCAGGTTTGCAGCCCACAAACACCCAGATGCGTAGAGGAACTGAGCCCCGAAGAGCTGATGCACCAACTTCAATCCCCGTCCCCTCGAGTATGTCTCACGCACCTGCCTGTTAAGTTAATTGCACCGTCCATTCTACGTTCTTCCTGCAGGATAATTCATGTGTACAGAAACCCAAAGGACGCTTATGTAGAGTTATACAAACGACTGCGCCGACTTCAACAAAATGGATTTGACGTAACATGGCATGATTTTTTCACATTTTGTTTAAAATCAATAACAGAATCCACACAAGGTTCAGGTAATAGCAAAGAAAAACGTTCACTTGATCCTTTACAATTCATTATGTACTTAACTAATCCATACAGAAGTTTGCACTTTTTGTCTTTCCTTGGGAATTTTGTCGCTTATTTGTTATAATTAAGAAAATTTGTACTGCCACATTATAATAAGACAGTACATGAGATTTACTCAAGGCCTTTCCACATCGAACGTGCTATCTTTGGCGTTCAATTTTTTTGATCTTCTGTCTTCTGTTTTAGAAGATTGGCGGTTTAATAGACTGTCAGCTCACGCATAAAAATGTTGTTTCATTAGCAAGCTATTCATACGTGATCTAACGTTGAGAGTAACCGCATTATGAAGTCGTCTGTGATTAAAGATTACGTTTTGCTTAAAATTACGTAGGAATTGTGAACTGGTTTGAAAGCACTGCAGAATGGCTTCAGCTGCCCAAACAACGATCTAATGTCCTCAATTTAGCATTAGAAGATTTGATCAAGGTAAGATCATGATCATGCCAACTAATAACAATTCACAGACTTGAATAACCGCTCAAAATGTTTAATACACGGTAATCGTTTATTAAAATGTTAAATAAATCTTTTCAGAATCCAAGCGGCGCTCTTTCTAAAATTTCATCATTTCTAACCACGTCAATTAACGACGGCGTTGACTTCATCCCATCTAATAAACGACAACGAAGAGAAGAGCATCTTTCAATTGATGACAGTCGTGCAAAACCCTTTGATTTAGATACAATTCCGTCGGACATCGGTGAGAAAAATGTCTCCCTCCCTCCCTCTCTCTCTTTCTCTCTCTCTCTCTCAAACTACTTATTTTCGTTGTTTATAGTGACAACAGATAAATTGAAATAATAGCAAAAAACGTTTTAATCAGTGTCTAAAATATATTCATATATTCGTTATTTCCCCAGGTTTGCCGGGAGAATGGAAAACAATGTTCACCGTGGCCCAAAGTCAAATATTTGACGACCTTTGGCAGCAATCAAATGTCCAATTCCAATGAGACAACGGATAATAAAATTTATCACTCATTGTTTACTTTATACTTCACATAATACTTAATGTAGGAACAACTACAAAGCGAGTACACGGAAGTACTACGTCTCATAGAAATAGTGCAAACCCGATAGTGTACCAATTTAAACATTTAGTCATTTACAATAAGACCTTGTGATTTAACACAGTACCTAATATTGATCAAGACGCTTTCCTGTTGGCAGAAATTTTGATCTCGGTTAATATATATCAAACGGAAGTATATGTTTATGACGCATTACACTGACAATATGCCTGTCCCGTGGACGGCCTGATAAGAAGGTATCATTAGGTTGATTTTAAGTATAATAAAAAAATTAAAGCTGAATTTCGATTTATGGAAATACAAGTTCAACATTGTTCAAGTTCAACATTGGACATCTTAGATTTATAATAAAACGTTCACATTCATTTTTAAGTAACATCAGGACATCATTTACAGGATATCATTTACAGATGAAATTCATTTAATCAAAATTGAATATTTTTGACAAATTAAAATCAATAAAGGCAAAATAAATCAATAAAGGCAATTTTATCCCTAGACTACATGTGTAGCTGTTTTCTTAGCTCATTATACGAACGTACTTTAGAGTTGAACCAATTTATCAAAGACAGCCATTAAATAATTAAATTTACAAATGCTTGTATTGACTTACGAAACTACGAGTTAATCGCCAGGGTTCATAAGTCTCTTAAATCATAATATTATAACAAAATATGTAAATGAATACTAAATAGAGCATTAAACCGTTTCATGGCTGGCAAATTTCGTCCTCGTATATTCTAAGGAAATCAAAGGCGCACCTTCGCATTACTTATTTACTTTAAGCTGATTGACTTAGCTTAAAAAATCTCTAAGGTCTGGTCTCTGATAAAATTTTGTAAACGGAAATATAGCAATCACACTCCAGATGTGTGTTCCCCCAAGCCACCGTAATTAGCTATCGCGGTATGCTCATCTGAAGACGCTGGGGACAGGCGGCGACGCCTTACTACCCCAACACTATCAGTCCTACAATTACTCCACACAGAGCCGTGCCTAGTATGGAAACGGCGACAGTGAGTCCAGTTTCATTGGAACGGCTGGCAGATTCGTTCGGTTCCATTGTTCTAGGGGTTTCCACTGCTGCTTGGACCTCAAACATGTTTGTTTCGTCCCATTTTGTGGCGTGCCATGTAGAGAATCCACCACCTTTCATTGAAACGCGCCCAGAAGCAGTCATTAGTAAGCGAGTGCTATTGCGCAGAAGTTTGGGCTTTAATTGGAACGGAGGCCGTCTGATAATGGGAAGAGCATTTGGCGTGAGGGCGTGGGCTTTCACACAGTAGTTAATCTCACATCCTTCGTTTATTGCAAGAAGGTGTTGACTGTAACCGTGAGGGCATTTTTTGGGCCAAAAAGGCGCACCAGCGTCCATCAGGACAGCAGCTAAACCCAACGGAGCCCCTTCAACAGAGCGCTTGTGGAGGTTAGGTATGTGTGGCGAAATAGCGAGCGGATTTCCCGAGGAACAGCTGAAGAAACCTGCGAAAGGTATGGCATAACGAAATCCCAGTTCGTAATCATCACTGACACATATGTAAATAGGAAGCGGCACACCCAGTTTAAGCGCTGTGAAATGAACCGGACAACTCTTCCCCTGTGTCAGTGGGTTGTCCGTATTGGCTGTGTAAGTACCACCAAATAAAAAGCCCGACTCTTGGGGTATTTTTCCAGTTGCAGCACACCAGTAAATCTGGTAATTTCTATCATCACACACGTCATGGCAGCGGTATCTGATAAACCAAAAATGGTGACATTCCCGGTGACATTTGCGCAGTTTGCCTTCATCTAAAAGGACCGCAGTGTATTGAGGAAGACAGGAATATGTTCCAGTTTTATGGTTTACCAGGGAATCCTCAGGAGAACACAGTCCTCCAGAACATGTCTGGTAAACGCCCCCGAACGTGAAATTGGTGAAAGGATTTACACAGGTATTATCATCAAAGTTAGCAATGTAGCTAAAATTAGGAGAGTCGATACTAGTGCAGCCACGATAGACATTATACAAGTAGTAACTCTCCACCGCTTTCTGAACGCTGTCGGCTAAATCACGCACTGTATCCAGCGGTAACTCTGGTAACGTACCTGTCGTGATGATGTAGTAGAGCGGATCACCTTCGCGGTCCACGGCTACAAGGTTGTTTTGTAAATCATCCACCCACTGGTCCAGCGTGAAACTTGCTGCGAAACGGTGGTCCCCCCACTGTCTCTGTGTGAGAAGTCACGCGACTTTGGACATATTTTTCTAGTTGGCCTTTTTCTACAGCATGGGTATAAGACGCGCTGGCGCCGATGAACCCAAATAAAGAAGCGCCAGCTGATGCCTTGATAGTAGACCGGTCATTGTCCATGTTTTTAATGTACGATGAATTTAAGTGGTCTTCTTGAATGATTGCTGCTCCGGCATCAATGCTGGTGACAAAATGAGTACCGTAATCGCGAACAAGAAGCTCCGATAAATATGTGACAGCGTCATTGTCCCTTTCTTGTATATAGGACGCGATTTCTAGCAGACGATCTTTGAAAGTAGGGTGAAGTTGGGGGTCTGGCTGACTACGGATCTTGTATAAGACGTAGCGTAGCTGCACCCTGCTAAGAACGGATTTATCTCCCGTGATGTGCATCTTTGAATTTTGGTGAGACCATGAGAAAGAGCCGCTTACAGACCCATAGGACCACGATGCATGCGCCTCAAGATTTATCGAGCTCGACGTGACACTGGTGTAGTTTAAAAAGTGCGTATAAAGTTCAGAGTACGTTTCGACGTTGCTTTTCTTTAGTGGAACAGCGTATGTGTCGTCTGGAATCATGAATTTTCTGTCCTGAGTTATTCGACACTTTGAATAATTTAGCGCCATGACAGGACCCATGTCGACGTTACGGAGATTGTCCCACCCGTTAAGGGGAATGACTTCTAGCATATCCATCGTCTGCTGCGGGCAATTCTGCGGATCGCCGTATTCAAACCCCTGCACTTTATTCATGATAACTGAGGTTTTTTCCACAGCAGCCACATATCCAATTTCCCATGGAACCGCCAAAAAGGCAACAAAAATGACATATCGTGCACACGCTCAACATTTTCGAGATCTTCTTTCTTCAGTAAGGCGCGGCTTGTTTTTATTCGGTCTACCTCGTCTAATATTAGTAACAAAATTATCACGTTTCATTTTGAGATTCAGCGTCACCCGACTCTCGTTGATAAAACAGCTCATGACTCTTCTTTAAATCTCGTTGATAATACCGCTCGTGACTCCTCTTTTGATAAGGTAAGAGATAATAAGGTAAGAAAATAATTTGTTAAACCAATAAAATACAAATGTATAAAATCGGGATTTTTGCCCTGTTATAGCGCCATTGGTAAATAAAACTATTAAAATGTACTAAAATAAAATTGCTTATGAGTGTTAAAAAGAGTTACTGCTGAACGATAAAAAGCTAGATAAAAATCGCTTACTTCCCTTAAAAACTATAAGCCTCAAGTTTTTGGGTAAATTTTGAATAGGGTATGAGCTGGATGAGTAGTACCAGTCATGATGGAAGCTGCTTTATTTTTATCCCTATGGAGATAAATGGAGTGGATGGGGGCAAGATCCGTTCCAATAACATTACTGCCGTTTTGACAATCTTTACTAGTTAGTTTTTAGCCTCTACAGTTGCATACCAAACGGTTACTGCATAAGTTAAATACTTTCTAAAACATACCTATAAAAGTTTGTTGAAATAGACACATTCCTGGTAAAAACTTTCAATTTCCTGAAAAATACAGCTCTTGACACCTCTTTAAATGTTTAACAGTGTCATCTACGCCAATTGTACTTCAAACACCTGTCAGTACTTCCAAAAACACAGCCTGGTTGGAAAATGCGTTACAGTTGCAAAATGCGTTTGGTTCCAAAATACGACTCTACTAGTTCCTAACTCCAAGGGTAAATAACAGAATAAACGATGTGAAAAATAGAATCACCCCCCCCCCCAAGACGGCCACACCCCGAAATCACACTAACATTTCCGAAGGACCCATGCACGTTCCCAATGGCAGATTTTTCAACCCCAAATGTTTTATGTCCCTCACGATGTGCCAATCCCTAACGATAGTTTTATTAATCTCCAACGTTTTAACTTTCTCACTCTAATGGTCTAGGAAATTACAATGTGAAATAAATTATATATAGTCGTCCGCCCCAGGGGTAGCCTGACCAGATTCAGCACACCTAGTCGAGGCAATCCTATCCCCTCGCCATAAACATCATAGCCACAAAATTTTACCAAAGTACTTAAAATAATAAGGGGGCGTGCCAGACATTAAGCTGATTAAATTGACTGTGAGAATCCCTGCTGAGATAGATCGATCCTGCTAGTACGATTACTTCTATTCTGAACACAGCCTTAGTGCTCCTAGTCAGTTGATTTCCATTTCGTGATGGCTGAACAAGGAAGTAATTTTAACAAGGCAGCAAAGCTGTCAAATGTACAGACAAAAAGCAGAAAACAATGCACAAAAATAGGCTACTGTCAATTCTGATACAAAAGTACATTATGCTTACCTGCAAATTCAACATCAAATTTTAGTTATGCTCAACAGGTAATACCAATGTAAGTAAAATGTGAAACAAGCATAAGGCTTCAAGCCCATGAGAGTTCACACTTTGAAAGTGCCAGAATAAGAAAAATGAAAATTTTACACAAAATTGCATAAATTCAATAATAAATGATAACCCAATTAAGCTGGCTTTCTAATTTGAACTGCATGCCAATCCTACAAATAATACTTGTAAGTTAAAAATAATAATAATAAGTAACACAGTTTTCTTTTCATGTTTGTAGTAGCAGTACATTTTTGTCAATTTTGATGTAACATTACATAATCAATTACAGAATAATTATCACCAATTATTGACTATAAATAGCATGGACATGTAGAAAATTTGGTTACCATTCGGCTTTATGTCCATGGGAGCTCTGAGTCCCACAATGAATATGCCAACATGATAAAAATGAATATTTCACTAAAATGTGTAACTACAAGAAAAAGAAGCAAATCAGACTGCTTTTCCAACTCGGCTGCAATTTAGTCCTGTGTTTCTTTTTTGAAAGTTTGACAATCATAAGTAACATGGTTTACCCATAATGGTCATCATGGCAGCAGCACCCAAAATTGTGTTTTCTTCTATTTTGATGCAATATTATATAATGCTTAACAGCATAATGACCATCAATTTTTAATAATAAAATATACGTATCATGGATTTTCAGAAAATGTGACTAGCATGGGTCTTTAAGCCTGTGGTGGTTCTAAGTCACACCTTGAAAATGCCAATATGTGAAAAATTAAATTTTTTACAAAAAAATGTTTAACTGCCAGAATAATTTACCAAACAGTCTGCATTGCCTACTGAAGTTGATTTTAGTCCCATGTTTCTTTCCTGTAAGTTTGAGAACAGTAAGTGACATGGTTTTCCTTAAATGG